AAAGAAGATGCACCCATTACACCAGTCAGAAAGACATCAGCATGCTAAAATGCCCTTATCAGGCAATTAAAGGCAAGTCTATGCTTTTTCTAAATGCCTCCTGTTGTAACAGTAAATTAGCATGATAAAATCCCATCTTGTGTCATGTTTACTGATGGTTCCCTTGTGGATATTCATGACAGAAAATAAATGGTAATTTACTTCTATGAATACTAAAGATAATTAAAAATACAAAAATTGATTTGACCTTATTCACAATTAGGTCCTTGTGCAATAAAACTCAAAAAGAAAAAGAAACCACTACAACAACACAGTTAACAATTGTACAGAGATCAGAAGAACAGAAGAAAACACAACTCAATGTTTTTTTTATTGGGCCATCTCTGAAGTATAATATGAACAAAACAAAACAACATCCCATTGCTATTAAACTTCAGTGCATTTGCATTGAAAATCTGTCTCCACAGATGCAAATCTGTGTAACCAAATTCTGTGAAACTGAATTTTGGAGGCTTTTCTTTTTCCACGAAAAAGCTAATTTGGTAGGAATGATTTAGAGAATAACCTTTGAATACAGACTCTTTGTGTATACGTCTGCATAGATATAATTTAACCCAATTTCTGCTCTAAATTGGTCTTTAGTAATCAAACCACTTAATGATTTAAACATTTACTATTAAGTTACAATGCTCAGTATTATGAAATCACAGGACATTGCACATAAGTATTTGCAAACACAGGACAAATACTACTTCACTAAGAACTAAGCTTTTTCAAACTTAGATGTAATCCTTGTTATGAGTGCACAGGACTGATATATATACTAGCAATTCTAAACATATATTGTTTTAATGTTTAATCAGTCATTTCAAAAGCTATTAGTTGCAAAGTGAGTTCAGTATTATGTAAATTTTCAAGGAAGAAAACTGACATTTTATATTATGCATTTCAGCTGTCTGGTATACAGTACAACCAGTAAAAAATTTTGTTTTTTTTTTAAGTGATGTACCTTTAATATATTCATATTTGTAGGTCAATATTTTTTTTCATTTGTAAAACACACTTGTTTCAATTCTATTTCATTGTTTTCATTACATACCCCACCCCACCCTCACCCCCCCAAAAAAGGAAGAAAGGCCAGCCATGTAGGGAAAGAAAAATCCTGAATGGCATTCTGACAGAACATAAACCACCAATATATAAAATAGCACATTCATATTACTCACTTTCTTCAAGTTATGAATAGAATAATGGAAATCAAAATTAGTACCTTACCTGTTGTCATGCCCTGGAGCAACAGCCAGTACTCTTGATGGCCATTGTAACAGAAATTTTGTTATGACTGTTATTATTTTCTTTTTAAAAAATGATGATTCTGGCTATTCTTTAATAGCACAGATCATATGTTACAATCTCAGTTAATAAAGTGACTGCATTATCTGATACCGAAATCTCTTGCCTGAAGGTTATTTATGGCATATGTGGGGAGAAAATTATCAAAGATTAAAATGATCTGAGGCTTTTCTAATATTTTCTCACAGCGAGTTGTGATTTTCAAAAAATATTCATTTCAGACATTTTATCTACACATGTCTAAGTGTTTTTTTTAAATGAATATAGAATGTATAATTAATATTTCAAAGTTAGTGTCCCTCATGTGAATCTATTTCTATTGAATAATGGAGACCAAAGGCATTTAACAATGAAGCAAGTATGTGCGTGGATATTTTAAAAAGATATTAATATTAACAGACATATTAAAAAATAATAAATGGTTTTCAAGATGGCTGAGAAACAATATATGCAAGGCTAATACAAGTGGTCCTTGACTTACAATAATTCATTTAGTGACTGTTTGAAGTTACAACAGCACACAAAAAGTGGCTTATGACCTTTTTCCACACTTACAACCATTGCAGTTTCCCTGTGGTCACATGATCAAAATTTGAATGCTTTGACAACTGGCATATCTTTATGACAGTTGCAGTGTCCTGGGATCATGTGATCACCTTTTGTGACCTTCTGATAAGCAAAGTCAATGGGGAAGCCAGTTTCATTTAACAAACACAGTGATTCATTTAACAACAGTGGCAAGAAAGGTCATAAAATGGGGCAAAACTCACTTAGGAACTGTCTTGTTTAGCAAATTTTATGCTCAATTGTGATCGTATGTCAAGGACTATCTGTATAGAATCTTTGCATATGAAGGACACTTAAATAAATATAAATGCATCTATAGTATATAATTATTAACAAAAAATTTATGAAGACAGTTATTTGATCAAAAGATTTGATTGAAAAAGTATTTTGCCCCATTGCTTCATAGTTAGGTGAGATAGACAGCCATACAAATCAAATGAATTGAATCAATCAATAAAAATAAAAATATTTTTTTTAAAAAAAATTAATGGGGATTTGTATGAGGAAAAGTAATTTGCTTCCAAATCTTAGTTTCAATCCCTATATCAGGGGTGTCAAACTCATGATGTCACAGGGGCATCTCATGAGATATCGGGACTTTTCCCCCATCGCTAAACTGGGTGTGGGCATGGTCAGCACATGACGCATCTGGCCAACAGCAGGTTTGACAGCCCTGCTCTATATTATAATAATAGTTTTCCTCTCAGATGGAGATACCCCATAGGAACTGGAAAGTGGGAAATGGTTAAATACTCTGAAGTAATATGAGTCCAGTACATCAGTGGACATGCTTCGAAGTATATATATATAACTAGTTGTGAATAAAGAGAACCAGATCTTTGGGGTCATACAGGCTGCAAACATCTGGAGTAGTTTTTCCAATTTAAACTCACTGATCATAATTTTATATGGTGAAGGGCAAATGGTGAAGCTATTAGTTACATACTATTTCATACATAACTTACACCTTTCTGCTTCTAATGTCTACCAGAACCCTCCCAGATTATTAGTATGTAATTCCTAGAATACCTACCAAGCATATTAGCTGGTAATGTATTAAAATAGCGAGCTAATCCAGCCTGTGCCAGGAATAAAGAACATTAATTTTTGTTTCAAACACATAGGTCAGCTGCATCATGTGGACAAAGTTAAAGGAATAGTAACTTTCTCTTCTTGTTGCTGAAATCAAGATGGCAGAACTGAAGTTTTAGAGCAGCCCTCCAAAACTGATATTTTTAATAAGAACTCTGTCTCTCTATTCTTTTTATCTTTCATAACATTCTACCACCATAATCATATGGAATGCAAAGGATGCTAGGATGCATAAATCCATAAAGAGTTAATAAATTGCATCACAATGGGGTTCTTTTTAAAATTCAGTTTTAAAATTTCAATTTTGGGAGAGAGGCTGGGAAAAAACAGGACTGCCAACTTCCCATCACTGTTTATAATGGCCAGAAAAAATTCAAAAATGGACACTTTCCAGTTGATTGGTCATCTCTGAATATGTGCTGTCACAACACAGAGTTATTTAAAAAAAATGGCAGTCATAGGAATTTTATTTATTTATTTATTTATTTATTTATTCATACATTCCATTTCTATAGCTGCCCATCTCAAAAAAGTGACTCTGGATGGCAAAAAAAAAAAAAAGTTAAAAGCAATTTGCAGTTGTGCAAATAGAATTCTTAAGCATATATCATTCAAGAAGTTTGATTTAGTGTAACATATAATATAATGAAATTGTGTTATCTTTCTATCCACCCATTCCATAGCTAGAATGATGTGGAATTCTTCCATATCATTCCAGTAAAATTAAGCAGAAATAAGCACAGAATTGCAGCCTAGAGTCTTTTGTTAACTCTATTTTTCTCCAGCCTTAGCTTTGGGCTACTAGGAGATTTCTATTATCCTTAAAAATTCATCCACTAATGAATAAAAATACATAGTATAGTAGTATAGAAGAAACTATGGAAACAATGTGTATTAATGCAGTTTCCACTTTGTTTGGTTTGTATAACAGTGTTTGTTTAGCATAAAAATATCAGGTCTGCAGAAAGACAGCCTTTGCAGCTTTCTTAAAAATTGGGCTAAACATTCTTCATTATGTTTTGCACATGGCACTTCATGAAATGTTCTTTGGGACAATTCTAACACCTGTAAATGAGAAAAACAAATATCCTGGCCACAATAGAAAGATTATATAACGGCTAGTATTACATTATTTGTTGTTGCAGTTTCCCAATCCATCCAAAAGTTTTCGAATAGTAATTATTTCCTGTTGTGGTAATAGTAATTAATTACTATAAAATAGTAATTATTTCCTATGGCAATTCTTTTGCCTAAAATGGAAAAAATATAAGGTTTTTTTTTTTCATCTTAACTGCTAACTTCTATTAGTATTGTAATTTTAATTTTTAAATACTAGTTTTATTGTTAGTAAACTTTCTTGATTTTGAATTGCATTTAGGCAACTCAATGTTTTTGAAAAAAGAAGTTGCATTGAGTTGTCCAAATGCAACTTCTTTCTTCAAAAACATTTGCAAGAGCCTTTGCCTATCAGCAATAAAGATTGGCTCAACTATGGTATTACTCACCTAAAAACATGATTTGCATCTTCCTCTACATGCATATTTTTTTAAAAATGTATATTGAAAAAGTATCAGATGAAGCAGTCACCATTATGACCTAAACTATATACTTTTCAAAAGAAAATATAGTAGAAAAGAGTATACAGTACCTGTGATTTCTATGCAGTATCAAGACTGCCTTTAAGAATATTTCCCAAGACAGCAGAAAGCTACTGAAATATGTTTTCAATTCTTCCTGTTCCCTGGACACTTGTCTGTGAAGCCAGGGAATAAAATAATTCATTTGCCCCTAGAGAGATCTCTCTCAGACACATACATCACTTACAAACAATACAAATGCACACTGTTTCAACATCTACTAAGTTCTTGTTACCAATACATTTTTAATAAAAAGAAAGAATAGTTTATAAAACATCAAATAAATAATGTTAATCTCTTTTAAATAGACATATATAGATAGAACAAAATGAAACTTGAGGGAAAACTTACTGGCGTTACAGTTTATCCTGATACAGTCTAGATGGGGAAAAATAAATGAAAGATGAAATTGCATCCTTCAAGGTAACAGCTGCAGACATCCAAAAACAATCAGTCCACCCTTCCGGGGACAGACACACGCAAAAAAATGTGGCCATTTTATATTTATGTACATTCTATAGAAGTACAGGAATGTCTCTGTACTTATTTACTTCAAAAGTCTCAGAACCATAAACTATTCCCATTTCCCTGCTTCTGTTTACGTGTTTCTGTTTTGTGTGTGTTTGTGTGTGTGTGTGTGTGAGTGAGTGTGTACACATGTGAGATACTTGCAGAAAAGAACTATAAATTATATACCTTTCCTTGACAATACATTTTTAAGAAAAAGTAAAAATGCAATTTCTTTCTTCAAAAACATTTGAAAAATACTTGAGTGATTCTAATCAAAAACTAGGTAAACAAGTTTACATGTTATTAAAGCACAGGCATTTTCCCATTAAATGCAAGGCTTTCTCCCAAATGGTGTGTATTTTTAGTCCTTTTAGGATACTTTTACACATTTGGATGCTTAAAAGCAAATTTTACAATGTTTCATTGGAATGGTTAGTGTATCTATATAAATGCATTCCTGGCTTTAGCTTGCAAATATTTAGTAATGCAATATTTAGCCCTTTCAATGTATACTGAACGATTTCCTGTGCGATAACTTAAAATGTTTTGCAGAAAAAATGTATATTGCCAAAACTTTTCATGCTGCAGAAAGGGATAACATATTGCTCCTTGTCACCATAAAATGGCCACTTGCAAACTGCTAACCGCACGAACGCCCAGCCCAGATTTCACTGCATTTTGGAGAGTTCATATTTTTTATTGGTTGGAGAGAGTTGATACAAAAACAGCCAGCCAGCCCTTCAGAGCCCTGTTTCACCTTGCTGCCTGAATATTAGAATTAAATGAAGCATCTACAACATTCCGGAAGAAGATGAAATAGGCAGTGCAGTGGCAGATCTGATTATCTTTGACAACCCCCTGCACTTCACTCATATGAAACTACAAGTGGGAGAAACCATAAACAAATTAAAAAAGACTACAGTGACACATGCATTTATTTGTGCCTGTTAAATACTCATTAATATTCCAACAAAAAAGTATAATTTCATCGGAGTAGACTCTTCTGAGCAAAACATAAGCTTCATAAACTTGAGCACAAGATTAGAAGCATGATACCTTCTTTAATTCTTAGACTGAGAATATATTATTTGAAAAAAGTGTTGCAACATATTGCCATTGTAATCCTGTGACAAACTGTTTCTCACAGTTAATGCTAAGAGCCACTTCTCCATATATTCAACTATATCATGTTAAAAAGATTCCACTGTTCATTGGCCAAAAAATTGGGTCAATCAAGGTTGACCTCTGGCTCAACTAAAATATTTAAAGCTAGCTATGCTAAACTTAGAGGTATTTTTCCCAAGTAAAATTAGAAAAGGAACATGTCTAATTAATATCATAAAATTAATATTTATAAAAGAGGGGTAGTAAACAAAAAAAAATCTGAGTGATAGGGAAAAAGAAAACATCCAGAAGTAATAATGCCACAGAGTGTATTTTTCAGCATATTCTTCTCTTAAGAAAATATGGGTTTGGTTTCGTGCGATTAGGTTTGTCATGTGTCGTCAACCGCAACAGAAAAGTGGGAGCAAACAGCTCTTGAGCATTTAGTACAAACACCATACAGGAGTGGCTATATCCCTTTTTAGATGTGTGCTGGTAAGTGCAATAAGGAAAGAAAATTCCCCAATACTGAGTGCCAAGAAGATTTAGAGAAGGAGAGAGAGAGAGAGGGAATGACAAAACACTAGAGATCATATCTGAAAGACTGATTATACTTGAGAGATGTAAAATAGAATGTAGATTGGATTATATTCTCTTTTAAGGGTCTAAAATTTCATTTGAGAAATGTATTTACATTTTAGAAGCTTAGACTGTCACAACTGTTCTGAGATAATTAAAGCTTCCTCCTACTTCTGAACACTTACATTTATAAACCCAGTCCTTGGGATTTGCTGATCATTAATTTTTACTGACATTTTTAATGTTTGTTTTTCCCGTAGTACCTATGGCTCACTCTCCACACTCCTGTTTACCATACATGAAGCTGCTAGGTGAGGTCATCTGTTATAAGGGAATATGTTGATGCTTTATATCTCTACCCTGGGCTGATCAAGTGACACCATGGAGTTCTGTTTATAGCCTGTGATGTGTTGGAAAGAATGGGCTTCAGTTCAATTATAACAAAACCAAATGGTTCTGGGATTTAGGATTTCTGGGGACTTCCTATCTCTAGATGGGATTGCACTACCCAAATAGAACTACTGGGTTACACACAGCTCTTGTGTGAGGAATAGGTGGCAGCCTTGGCCAAAAGAACTTTTACACAACTTTGTGTGGCACACTTTGTTGGACTAAAAGGCTCTGCTAACAGTTTCACATGCCTTAGTCACATCCCAAATGAACTACTATAATACAGTTTACATGGGACTGCCTTTAAAGAACATCTGGAAGCAGCAGCCGATTAAAAATTGCAGTATGAGCAATTATAGGTGATTCTCTGTGTCTTCATGTTACTTCTTTGCTTCATGAGCTCCCTTGATTATCAGTATTCTTCTCGATGCAATTGAAGGTGCTTATGGTCACTTATCAATCCCTTCATGGAATGGGACCAGGTTATCTATGGAGCCACCACTCTCCTATCATTTCTATCTCTTCTCTTAGATGCAGAAGGAGACGCATCTATGGACTACATGAATCAAGAAATACCTTCATAGGAAACCTTCATAGGATTTTCTATTTTGGTACCTGACCTTTGGAACATCGTTCCTCAAGAGAATTAGACGAGAGTACTGTATATCAGCCTTTCACAAGGCCCTGAAGACATGCTTAAGTTTCTGAGCATGAGAACTGGATTATTGGTTTGAACCTATGAGATAGTTATTGCTGTTTGATTGTTTTTGTTAATCTTGGCTGCCTGCTGTGTATCTTATTTTCTCTTGTTTTGTATTTTAACTTGTTGGCCACTTAGAATTCCCATTCGGTCATGTAAATTGAATAAGTAAACAAATATATAATCAGTCAATAGCTGGATACATTTCTGGCCCTCTCTGCCTATACAAAACAACCAATAAGGGATGCAGATGTTGAGTGACCTTTAAAGATAAGACTCTGACATAGTGCAGTTCCAATCAGATAAAGAAGAAGACTGAGAAGGACAAGCACTGCTTTATAGTGTGATTAGCCATGTTCTAACTCTAAGCTTGTGCTAATCATGAATGAGACTGTGGCTCATTGAATTTTCTTTCTCTGTGTATTTCTGTCTCTCTGTCTCTCTCTCTCTCTCTTTCTCTCTCTCTCCCCCTTTCCCTCCCCCCTCCCTCCCTCCCTCCCTCCCTCCCTGTCTCTCTCTTTCTTCTCTATCTTCTCAACAGTAGTGTTAGAAATATGACATATAGACTTATAATTTTTCCAGAGCTTAATGTGTTGCCAGAGAATATGATCGTCCAACTATCCCTCAAGAAACATTTAAAATTTTCTTAAAGAAGCAGTCTTAACATATGAGAGTGTCTTCCCTCCCTCCTTCCTCAATAAAATTAACCACATTCTCCTTCCTGATTCTTTTTTTTTTTTTTTTTTTGCTTAATAGGGCTGTAAAGGAGAGAGGGATATGGCAGCCCTTGCAGGTTTTTCTGTACACTCTGTTCGAAGGGCTGTTTGCTGTGCGGGCCGCAGGCTTCAGGCCTTTGAAGGGTTGAATACCATCTTTTGATATACCATGACTGATGGGACATAAATAAGTTTTTACAACGTTGTTACACAGTGTGAAAAAGATCACAGAAAAAGGATTAGAAACATGAAATGAAATTAAGAAGAAAAGCTGAGGGGAGGGCAAGCAAAATAATGTTTGCTACCATTCAAAACAGACTTTGCCATTGCATTTCTGGCAAGAAAAAATGGTTCAGATTCCCATTGTAAGCTACTCTAAATCAACAATATATTTATAAATTGCCATTCTTCACCAGATGTTATCAAATGTGGAATTTTTACTGCTAAGCAAGACTTAGATGTTGGCTCGCTTAATGCAATAACATTTCAGAACTCACATTGTCACTCTCACTAAGGTTTGAAGAAATCTTCTCTGGACTTCTTGGACTTGAAATGAATTTCTAACACAATATCTCATATTGACTTCTGTCTCTAACACTTTTTGGGGGGAGGGTTAAGGTGACATCTGAAAAGGTTTCACACACCTTTCTTGCATCATAACTAAGCTTCTATTCTGAAAGTCACCTTCAGAATATGCATGACTGCAATAAAGTTGGAGAGATACTGCAGTGACTCCAAGCAAAGCATAGCTGATGTGAAATTTGGGCTTACTAGAATTTCTTTTGCTTACTAAAGGGCAGATAGAACTTCATTCTGGGGTCTTTCTAACATGAAAAAGTGTTTCAAAAGCCTAGTCATAAATCTTAAAAAAATGCCATCTTAGACTTATTAACAGCATTTTGAAAACGTAGTTGCTTATGAAACAGCTTAGATAGTGCCAAATGATATGCGCATGATACATGTCTTCGAGGGAAGAAAAATGTTTCTGCTAAGGGAGCATTCTTTATCTTATGGTGGTTACGACTGTTAGATACAAATAATCATTTCAGAACTGATAGAAACAGTCCAGAAGTTGTTGCTATTGTTATTTCTCTGTTAGAGAAATGCTTAAATTGTTTTCATATGGGCACTACTATCTATCTATCTATCTATCTATCTATCTATCTATCTATCTATCTATCGTATCTATCTATCTATTTGCTGTCTTTATTATTTTTACAAATAACTCAAGGCAGTGAATATATCCACATACCTTACTCCTCCTATTTCCCCCACAACAACCACCTTATGAGTGGGTTGGGCTGAGAGAGAATAACTGGCCTGAAGTCATCCACATGACTTTCATGATTAAGACATGAATTCATGGTCTCCTGCTTTCTAGCCTGGTGCCTTAATCACTAGACCAAAAAATCCCTTATGTATCTGGTTGTAGGAAAGTTCTTAAATAAGATTTTCCTGTTCATATTCTAATTCTACCCTTCCATTCTAACGTATAAATGAGTGGAATAATATAAATGTTTTTCCAAGCAATGTATGATACATACTTGGAAGATCAGGGGCCCAAAAGCATTCCATCTTGATATTTTGTAGTTAGATGTTTTGGAAAATCAGAGGTGCTAAGTCATAAAACCAACATCAGAAAAGCTGACAAAAATTCTGAGGCTATAACACAGTTTTTCAAATAAAAACTGCAGAATGTCAAGCAGTGATACCAGCTGGTTTTTTTTAAAGCAAAGAACTACAAGAGGTGAACATTTTAACCTTTTGGAAGACAGATATTAACTATATCATGGCTCTTTATCTCTTCCTAGTGAGCCATTTTTGAGCAGCAAACAAAATCATTTATTTTTCAGGAAACTAATTCTATGAAATTCCTCAAATTAAAATCTTGACAGAAAAAAATAACCAATGGAAACAATATTGTACCAGAAGAAAAAGAAGAAATCTCTATCCCAAATTCTTCCCTTTCCCTTCAGTTAAGAACATTGAATGAAAAGATAAAACTCCATCCAAGAGGTATAACAGAAATACATTTCTATTGGACTTTTTGGAGACAGGAGTGGGCAAGAGGAGGTTTCTGGATATTTATTTATAAGTTATTCTTGTGCTTTTTTGAAATGGGCACTTTTTAAGCCTTAAATTAAAGATTAATCTTATTCTTAATCACAGGAAGCAGCATAGATGACATTGGAATGTTTGATACCCTGTTTCCCCCAAAATAAGACATCCCCTGATAATAAACCCAATCGAGTTTTTGAATGCATGGCAATAAGGCTAAGCACTTGTTTCAGGGTTCAAAAAAATATAAGACAGGGTCTTATTTTTAGGGAAGCATGGTATATAAAACCCTAGCTTGTTAAAGGATAACTGTACAATCAGAATATTTCACCTATGGCTCTGTCATTGTCTTCATAACTTATTTTTGACTGTTTTGAATAGTAGCAGAGAGGCTGGATTAATGAGGATGTGGTTGATCAAAAGATGGACCAAACAGCATGTCTTACACAAAACTAACCAGTTTAAGAACAAGAAAGGAAGCTTTAAAAAAGACTTAAAAACAAAACACATTATCCATAACCAGGAAGCAACATAAAATCTGCATGCAGTGATGGCTGGAGAAATTCTCCGTGATTAATATTATTACAAAAAAAAAAAATACTTTAGCAGAATTATAATTCAACTCAACCAGATCAAGGGTGGGGGAGGATGGAAGGGAGACAGACAAGAAAACAAAACAAGCTGAAATTAAAAGCCAAGTGATGATGGGGGGAGAGGGGGGGACGACTTTGCACAATACCTAGATTGACCATGAGTTTGACCCGGCTTCCATCTAATTCAAGCCGTAGTGTATCGGCTGAATCACGTGATGTTGTGGCCATCAGCAGACCATAGGCACGCTGGGACATGAAGCGGAAGGACACATCCTCAGCCTCTGTATGCATGACCATAGGCATAACAATTTTCATATACATGCTGCCATCGTAACTCAGGACGGAGGCCTCTGAAGAAAAGAAAAATAAAAATAAAACAAATTACAATAGTTTTAGGCATTTCAAATCTTGGATTTGATACTAATTATTTAACACTTTAGATACATTATTTAATGATTACATAAAAGTGGCTCAGATTTTCATAAATATTATTTCACTGTATTATTCAAATAACAAAAATTCCCTGAGTATTGTATATTCAGTTGAAAATACTAAGAGTGGAACTACCTTAAAATAGTAGAAAAATAACAGTAGAAAATTGTATTAGAGATAAAACCAGTGACTATAATAATGGCAATCAATCATCATAAAGTAACTCCACTTGAAGCAAAATACATTGTCTCATTGGCAGAATTCCTTGAAAAGGGCCTCACATTAAGATCTTAGTAACATGATACATTAATTTGAGTAGAGAATTTTTTCTGATATCATGGTTTCATAATATTTATCTATTTAGCAATTGCTAACTTTATATTAATTGACTGACTAAATGGCATATACCAACTACAACTTTAGACGTTTTCCAAGCATAGTTTAATGTAAAGTATGTTCCAAATATGTACCTAATTCAAAATAGTGATACTTAGTGTATTAACGGTAATCTTAAATATGCAAATATACTCTTTGCCTAACTCTACACTTGTACATCCAGCAATAGACGAAGATGGAGAGTCCAGACTACTAATCGACTCTGTCAGAGAGAGTATAACCATTTCTATAATACAACAATTTACAATTCAACAACAAACTGTAATTCAATTCAAGTTTAGTTTCTTACTGATCCTCAGAAGCATTGATCAAGACAACATTCAAGGGAACAAATTGTTTCCTTGTAATTAGATGGCAAGAGTCAAAGAAGGCAGAAGTTATCAGCATTTTGAAGATATTCGATTCTAATATATCATGTTCAACTTATCATATTTGGAAGCATTATGTGAAGATCTATCAGAACAGAACAGAACAGCAACAGATGGATTGATAGGAGACCTAAAAAATCCAGCCTGGGAATGGATCATCCTGCAGATGTTATGTCATGTAATTGTTTAATGTTGACATCAACTTGATAGCAATCAAGTAAGCAGTGGGTGGGGAAGGTGCAGGATCAGATTTCTTGACATGTGAGTGTTATTCCAGGTTGCTGGAAAAGCTATGTTATCTTCTCAGAGTTCCTGTTGTGGTAAGCAAAGCACAGTATGTTAAGTAATGCTACTTCCAGATGCTGGTGGAACCCAATGTTCTCATATTAGACATAAACTTATTTGCTGCATGTACTGAATAGAAACACACAGGCCTCCTTGGTTTTGCTTTGGATTCTATTAGACTGTGCAGTTAAGCATGAAATGGCACTTTCTGACACCTTTAGTTCAAATGTGACCTGCATGAAATAGTCCCTGTGCTAGTGTGTGCATATGCATACATTGCTGGTAAGTGTCAGAGTAAGCAAAGGGAATGTTTTGTCAGAGTATACATGTATACAGTATAATGTATACAGAGTATACATTAAAGAGGAATCAAATACTTCTCTTCTTTAGGTACAATAGGATATATTGCATGATAGAAGCATTTAGTAAATTAGCAAGAACTTTGGAGATATAAAAATCTGGAATATTTGCTTTCCTTAAAGAGAAAAACAATACAAATAGCATTAGAAACTTAGGACTAATTTCAGTAGCAAGATCCAGAGATATAAGCTTACCCAATTGGTGTCCCCCACCCCTCAAATGTGCTGAAATTGCAAATCATTTCCTAAAGTCCCCAATTATTATGAAATATATGAAGGCTGGTATAAATTTATATAATAGAAAATAAGCAACCTGAAATAATAAGTCCAGTATAGGTTCCTTTCACCTTTTCCTCTCTAAAATATCAAAACAGTCTGAGTATGACCCACAGTTATCTTCACCACACTTATCTTAACCATAATGAGAACAAGGACCAAGCTGCAGCAGGTCCTGCATTATCAGCAACAATATCCACAAACACAAAGGCACACAACAACACACCGCAATCTATTTTATATGAAAGAGAAAATAAATTACTTGCTTCAGATTGCATTTATTTTTCTGTCTGTCTGGAAAAGAAAAACCCAAGCATTTCCTAGAGGAGGAATTAGAAGTTCAAAATTCATCACTGCAACTTTTTCCTTGTAAATACCTGCTAGAATAGAGCATACCCAAAAAAATCAGGCAGTGTAATAAGGTATCAGTTCCCTTAAATGATGAAATTACTTTTACACAAACTTCACATAAAGTTTGTAGCAACTTCCAGCATACTATAAGTGAGCTGGAAATTCAGTTATATATCTGTAGAAATGGTGGTAGACTTTAGGAGAAACCTTTCCATATTTCCACCTCTCACAATACTAGACAACACAGTATCAACAGTAGAAACCTTCAAATTTCTAGGTTCTACCATATTGCAAAATCTAAAATGTACAGCTAACATCAAAAACGTCATCAAAAAAGCACAACAAACAATGTTCTTTCTGCGCCAACCCAGAAAGCTCAAACTGCCCAAGGAGCTGCTGATACAGTTCTACAGAGGAAGTATTGAATGTGTCATCTGCACATCTATAACTGTCTGGTTTGGTTCTGCATCCCAACAAGACAGATACAGACTTCAAAGGATAATTATGGCTTAGGACCTGGGTACTTACGGGACCGCCTTCTGCCACCAGTAGCCTCTCACCGGCCAGTACACTCACATAGAGAGGGGCTCCTCAGAGTGCCGTCGGCCAAACAGTGTCAACTGGTGGCCCCCAAGGGGAGACCCTTCTCTGTGGGGGCACCTGCCATCTGGAATGAGTTCCCCCCGGAGATACGGATGATCCCGGATTTACGCACCTTCCGCCGTGCCCTCAAGACCTTTTTATTTCAGCAGGCTGGCCTGGCCTAAATTCCCTTTTAAAATGTAAATTGTAAATTTCTTTTAAAATATTAGGGGTGTTTTAATTTGTTTTGGGCCAAATTATCTAATGGGTTTTTATATTGTCTTTTAAATTTTGTAGTTTGTGTGTTTTATCTTTTTGGCTGTTCACCGCCCTGAGTCCTTCAGGAGTAGGGCAGTATATAAATCCAATAAAATAAAAAATAAATAAAAATAAAATAAATAATTAGAACTGCAGAAAAAACAATTTCTACCAACTTGCCTTTCATTGAGGACCTGTATACTGCACGAGTCAAAAAGAGGGCTGTGAAAATATTTACAGACCCCTCACATCCTGGACATAAACTGTTTCAACTCCTACCCTCAAAATGACACTATAGAGCACTGCACACAGAACAACTAGATACAAGAACATTTTTTTCCCGAACGCCATCACTCTGCTAAACAAATAATTCCCTCAACGCTATCAAACTATTCACTAAGTCTGCACTACTATTAATCTTCTCATCGTTCCCACCACCCATCTCCTTCCATTTATGACTGTATGACTATAACTTTGTTGCTTGTATCCTTACGATTTATATTGATATTGTTTCCTAATTGCTTATTTATACCCTTTGACAATCATTAAGTGTTGTACCTTATGATTCTTGACGAATGTATCTTTTCTTTTATGTACACTGAGAGCATATGCACCAAGACAAATTCCTTGTGTGTCCAATCACACTTGGCCAATAAAAAAATTCTATTCTATTCTATATTAGGCTGTCAAACTGTAACAAGGATGATCCCAGGGGGATAGAACCAGACCTGGATCTGGAAGGACCCATAGACCTGGATTGGTTTCCTTGATTGACCCAACTGCAGTTAATTATGCTGAACCTGGTTTTCCAATAGAAGTGCTGGGCTCAATAGCATTTGGGATGGGTCATTTTCTCCTTCAAAATTAGATCACTTTGCCCCTTGCCCTCTCCCTCCATCCTGCAGAGGTAGTTTTACATTAACATTTTTTTACTCTTTTCAACTGTGCAGATGGATGGAATTTTTGTGACTTGCAGATTTTGTAGCTCCTCTCTTCCTTCCCTCCTTCTCTTCTCCTTCCCAGAAAAGCAGTCCAGGGATGGGAGGTAGGCATGGCACTCTGATACCTTTTTTTCCCCCTTTCCTATTAGTCAATGAGAGATGCATAGATTGCCTTGAATGTTACTTACTTTAATTTTAAGGTAAACAAGACAACTGTATATCGGCTTGAAATTGATTGGGAGGATACGGAAAGTAAAAAGTGGTGCAGTATAGAAGTGCCTAAGTTCCAAGACACAGCAAATAAAATAGGGAATGTTTGCATTTAAATAAGTGATTTATATATAGATATAGGCCCTGCCAGTTCTCAAAGAAAGTCCAAAATGCCACCCCTCACTTTATTTTCATATCAATCCTGCAAAATAAGGAAGGTAGATATAGACTGTACTTTTGTTAAGCCACTTCTATCTACATGAGAGGGCAAAAAGTCTATGAAACATGGAGCAGATAAAGCACAAGTTCCTTTTCCGACTTGCTCTCTGTGAAATTTATTTATTTATTTATTTTTGAAAAATACTGCCAAGCCACTAAATGGGGAGAGAATTGCAGCACAAAATTGCAACTGCAGCAGGGGAAGAGTTTAATCTTATTTTCCTTTTATCTAAATGATGGGATACTTGGTTTTTGACATTCCTTTCCCTTTATGTTATGATATCATTCATTTGTTTTACCTTCTAAATAGTGTTAGCTATATATACAAAATAGATAAGCAATTTGTTAACGGTTGGTGAAAATGGAGAAAACAAAGAATTTTTCCTTTTCCTCCCCTTTGTTTGAACAGATTAAAAAGCAGATCCTGCAAAGCAATTTTTTGGTATTAGCCTCTTGGAAGTGCCTTTCTCTAGAGCAGGTGTGTCAAACTCATGTCATCACAGTGGCATCACATGATGTATTGGGACCTTTTTTCCCCATTGCTAAATTGGGCGTGAAGCAGCACATGACGCATCCGGCTCACGAGCCAAGAGTTTGACAGCCCTGCTCTAGACGATTGTTCATAAGACAATTGTGTCTCTATAGGTATACTCTGTGAATTGCTAGGGAGGGG